AGCTAGCAATCCAAAACAGTCCAGTGGCACCTTTAAGACCAAGCTTTATTCAGGTACAAGCTCTCCCTCCTCTGCGAGGACAGATCTGCACGTTCTCCCCCCTCCCCCAATAGCTAGCAATCCAAAACAGTCCAGTGGAGCCTGAGCGGTGGGGTGCTGCCTTCTGACACACTTCTGGTGATGTCAGGGGGTGTGGCGCATGCAAATAAGTTATGCTAATGTGTTATGCTAATGAGCTCCTGCACCTCTTTTTCTACGAAATGACCCCTGGGGCTCTATGTTCTCCTAGAATTACGCCTGTTCCTTAGACTACCGTGATCAGTTTCCCTGGAGGAAATGGCCGATTTGGAGGGTGGAATCTATGGCAGCGCCCTATCACTTATGGCGGCCCCCGCTGGGTTGGGACATTCTGGGCGCTTTGGGGGTGGAGCGTGGAGAGGGCGGGGATTTGAGATGGGAGGGACCTCAGCAAGGTATAATGCCATTTTCTCCAGGGGAAATGACCTCTGTTGTCTGGAGAGGAGCTTTGTTTGGTCTTAAAGTTGCCGCTGGACTCAGACTTTGTTCTCAAACTCCTTCAAGCGCGCTCACATGAAAGCTTAGACCCAGAAGCAGTGTTCCCTCTAAGATGAGTTAAGTGTGAGCTAACTCACAGTTCTTTAGCCTCCAGCTCACACATCTTTGTCTTAGCTCAGGAAGGATGGCTCCAGAGCATACTAATTTGTGCAGTAGCCAGATCGCTCACTCACAACTTTAATGCCCGGAGGTTCACCAAGTAGAATTTTGCTCACAAGACTCCACAGCTTAGAGGGAGCATTGCCCAGAAGTAAACCTTGTTGGTCTTCAAGGGGCCACTGGACTCAGCCTTTGTCCTGAGAAAGGACACTCTTACATCTCATGCTAATAAACACATCCCAGGGCGAATGCTCCCTCTAAGCCAGTGATGGTGAACCTTTTAGAGACCGAGTGCCCAAACTGCGACCCAAAACCCACGTATTTATTGCAAAGTGCCAACAGGGCAATTTAACCTGAATACTGAGGTTTTACTTTAGAAAAAACAACTCATACATTAACTTAAGTTGATCCAAACAAAGTAAGGAAAGCAATCCCAAATGCTTTCATTTACTTTAAATTATTTGGCAGAGAATTCAACACTTTAATGATGGTCTGGGCCTGGCTGGGGCGATGGCACGCGTGCCCACCGAGAGGGCTCTGAGTGCCGCCTCTGGCACCCGTGCCATAGATTCGCCACCACTGCTCTAAGCTGTGGAGTCCTGTGAACAAAAATTCTACTTTGTGAGCTACTGGCATTAAAGTTGTGAGCGAGCAATTTGGCTACTGCCTAAGTTAGTTTGCTTTGGAGCCATCCTTCCTGAGCTAAGACAAAAATGTGTGAGCCGGAGGCTAAAAAACTGTGAGCTGGCTCACACTAACTCAGCTTAGAGGGAACACTGCGGCCAGGACATCCCCGAAGGGCCCCCAAGAGCAGAAGAGGGAGGGTTGGTTGACCAGGAAGGCAGGCGGCTCTTGTGCCAGACTCTGGCCATTATTAAGGACCAGTAGGGTGACAGACTCACTTTGTCGCATATCACGCAGTGGTAGGTCTCCACAGTTGAGGAATAGCGCAGGCTGTAATCGAGAGGGGGCTCCATGCTCGGGAGGAGGTGGCTCCCGTAGATGCTGATGGAGCGCTCCAGGAGAGCGGAAGACATGGGCCGGTAGGCGTACGGAGGAGGGTGGAAGGCATCCCAGGAGAAGCCAGGCTTGTGGTAGGGGGGCCCCCCGTCCCCCCCAGGGCTGCCAACGCCGTCAGGTTTCAGAGCTGGGGCAGGATAAGGAAAAAAAGAAATGGATATTGCATGACACTCATCAAATGTTTCCAAGGTCAACATCAGCAAAGGTAAAGGTAAAGGTTCCCTTGCTCGAAAGCAGTCGAATCCGACTCTAGGGTTGCGGTGCTCATCTCCGTTTCCAAGCCGAAAAGCCAGCGCTGTCTGAAGACGTTTCCGTGGTCATGTGGGGGGCATGACTAAACACCAAGGCGCACGGAACGCTGTGACCTTCCCACCGAAGTGGTCCCTGTTTATCTACTTGCAATTTCTTGCTTTCGAACTGCTAGCGATGGCAGGACATCAGCAAAATAGCTTCCCAATTTGCAATGGAAAATATTAATAGGGTAGCCAGTCAAGATTCATAGGGGGAAATCTCCAAAGGCTTATGTCGCTGGTATGCCTCCTAACCCTACCGTGGCAGCATTCTAGGGCTGTCAACGTCCAGGTAGGACCAGGAGGTTTGGAATTACAACTGATCTCCAGGTGTAGGAGATCAGTTCCCCTGGAGAAGACGGATGCTTTGGAGGGTGCACTCCGTGGCCTTGTCCCCCACTGAGGCCCCTCCCCTCCTTGAACTCTGCCCTCCCCAGGCTCCACCCCCAGATATCCAGGAATCTCCCAACCAGGGCTAGGCAACCCCACACCATCCTGAGCCCATCTGGGCTCTCTCTCCCCTGCCCTTTTTTTAAAGAAGCAGTTCCCTGCAGCTGCTGTGCGGCCGTGGGAAACCCAAAGAACACATAAAAATGAGTGGAAAAAATGTAACATACATGAGAGAGCCGGTTTGGTGTAGTGGTTAGACGCGCGGAATCTAACCTGGAAGAACCGGGTTTGATTCCTCTCCCCACTCCTCCACATGCAGCTGCTGCTGTGACTTTGGGTCAGTCACAAGTTCTTTCAGAGCTGTTCTCTCAAGGGCAGTCCTCGGGAGAGCTCTCTCAGCCCCACCTACCTCACACAGGGTGACTGTTGTGGGGAGGGGAAGGGAAAGGAGATTGTGAGCTGCTCTGAGACTCCTTCGGGTAGTGAAGGGCGGGGTATAAATCCAATCTCCTCCTCCTCCTCCTCCAATCTCCTCCTCCTCCTCCTCCTCTTCTTCTTCTTCTTCTTCTTCTTCTTCTTCTTCTTCTTCTTCTTCTTCTTCTTCTTCTTCTTCTTCTGTGATTCTGGGGCCCTGGGCCAAATTTCAGGGTGGGACCCCAGAATCATTGCCACCCCTTCCCACCCAGCCTGGTCAACATATGCCACAGGGACAAGGTGGGTTGACTGAGATGGACTGTGCCGTTTCACAGTACAGGTGAAAGCTCACATTTTTAAAGCTTTCCTGGAGAAAGAAAATTTTGGCAAGCAAAAGACTATATCAAAACACTCCCCCTCGAGCCGTGGCGGAAAAGTGCCGTCATGGCAAACCTGACTTCTGGCCACCCCAGGAGGTTTTCAAGGTGAGAGGCTTTCAAAGGTAGTTTGCCACCGCCTGCCTCTGCACAGCAACCTTGGACTTCCTTGGTAGTTTCCCCTCCAAGTTCTAACCAGGGCCAAGCCTTGCTTAGCTTCCCAGACCTGATAAGATCAGGCCAGCCTGGGCCATCCAGCTCAGGGCCGCTGTCAGTTGGCCAGGAAGGTTTTTTGCTCGTTTGTGTTTTGTGCCCGTGGGAGCATCTCAAAGTGATCTATCCTATCTTACCACTTCAGGACTCCGGCACTTATCGCTGCTGCCAGTACAGGCCAGCCACAGAGATGGGTTAGAACATAAAGAGAACATAAAGAGAAGCCAACGTTGCATTCAGGCCAATGGCCCATCCAGTCCAACACTCTGTCACACAGTGGCCAAAAATACCAGGAGCCACCAGGAGGTCCAGCAGTGGGGCCAGGACACCAGAAGCCCTCCCACTGTTGCCCCCCCCCAGGCACCAAGAATACAGAGCATCACTTGCTCCGGACTGAGAGTTCCTATCTATACCTTGTGGCTAATAGCCCCTGATGGACCTCTGCTCCATATGCTTAGCCAATTCCCTCTTGAAGCTGTCCATGCTTGTAGCTGCCACCACCTCCTGTGGCAGTGAATTCCATGTGTTAATCACTCTTTGGGTGAATAAGTATTTCCTTTTATCTGTTCTAACCCGACCACTCTGCAATTTCATGGAGTGCCCGCAAGTTCTTGTATTGTGGGAAAGGGAGAAAAGGGCTTCTTTCTCAACCTGCTCTATCCCATGCATAATCTTGTAAACCTCGATCATGTCACCCCTCAGCCGTCGTTTCTCCAAGCTAAAGAGCCCCAGGCGCTTTTACCTTTCTTCATAGGGAAAGTGTTCCAACCCTTTTCTGCACTTTTTTCCCGGTTCTATAATATCCTTTTTGAGGTGTGGTGACCAGAACTGTACACAGTACTCCAAACGAGGTCGCACCATTGATTTATTCAGGAGCATTATGATTCTGGCTGATTTGCTTTCAGTTCCCTTCCTGGAATTCTGAGCCACGGCCTTGAAAGAGGGTGCCTCAAGCTCTGAGGCGCACGGGTGCTTACCTGGAGTCGGGGGCTCCGATGCAGGTGTCACACTCTGAGCAGAGATGTTTTCTTTTGTGGCTTCATCGGGGCCACTTGGCTCTTTATGGGGAGAGAAGTCTCGATCGCGTGTGCCACCGAAGGCCCCCGATGGGTCCCTGGCCTCTGTACCTGCGCAGTCAGAGCAGAATAATGGTCAACGTCCTCTGACCAGCCAGGTGTGAGCCTAGCAGTGATGGTGAACACGAGCCAATGCCAAGGGTGCCAGGGCCAGTCCACCCGTGAGACTGCCTGGGGTGGCACCCGGAGAAGGGTGCTGCTGCCCGGCAGGGGTTCTCAATAGGCCTTCTCTGGGCTGGGGGATTCCTAGAGGTTTTGGGGGTGGAGCATGGGTTAGGTGGGGTTTGGGGAGGGAAGGGGCTTCAACAAGGTATAAAGCCATACAGTCCACCCTCCAAAGCAGCCAGTTTTTCCAGGGGAACTGATCTCTGTCGTCTGGAGCAATGCTCCCTCTAAGCGGTGGAGTCTTGTGAGCAAAAATCCTACTTTATGAGCTACTGGCACTAAAGTTGTGAGCGAGCCATTTGGGTGCTGCATAAATTGGTTTGCTCTGGAGCCACATCCTTCCTGAGCTAAGACAAAAATGTGTGAGCCGGAGGCTAAAAAATCTGTGAGCTAGCTCACACTAACTCAGCTTAGAGGGAACACTGGTCAGTTGTCATTCTCCAGGCCCCACCTGCAGGTTCGCAACCCTGGCTCTCATCCATCAGTGAAACAGAGTAGGGTTACCATGGGTTGAGCCTTGGGGTGGGTGGGGTTTGGAGAGGGGAGGGGCCTCAGCAGGGTATAATCCCACAGAGCCCACCTTCCAAAGTAACCATTTTCTCCAGAGGAATTGATCCAAATTGTCTGGAGATCACTTGTAATTCTGGGAGATCTAATCCTAACATCAGGAAGAGAGTAGCATCTTCTTCCGGGCCTGTGGAGCACGGCGCCCTGGAATTCCGTGGAGGTCTCCCATCCAAGTACTAACCAGGGCCGACTCTGCTTAGCTTCTAAGATGTAATGAAATCAGATAGCTTGGGCCACCCAGGTCAGGGCATTCTTGAAACAGAGCAACCAAATACCTTGAACGGACTGCTGCACCTAAAATAGCGTTTTGTTTCATTTGTTTCGTTTCATTTATTGGATTTATAACCAGGGGTCATTTCCTGCAGGAGCGCACAGGAGTGGAGCTCCGGCAATAAAGAGCCCAGGGGGTGGGTACATGCAACAAGCCCCACCCCCTGCTCCCAGCAGCCCTCAGGCAGAGCAAGAAGCAGCCAGGTAAGCTGCAGAGCCCAAAATAGCTAGCAATCCAAAACAGTCCAGTGGAGACTGAGTGTTGCCTTCTGACACACTTCCGGTGATGTCAGGGTGTGTGGCATATGCAAATGAGTTATGCTAATGGGTTATGCTAATGAGCTCCTGCGCCTCTTTTTCTATGAAATGACCACTGTTTTATCACCCACTCTCAGAGTGGGTAACATCGTTTATAAATCATTCAATCATTTAAAACATTATAGTAGTTGCAATA